GCATGATCTCACTGGTCGCCCTTCGCTGACCTCTTCCCCACCAGGGTTCAGGTGATCCAAGGTGCAAAATCTCCAGGGAGAGTCACGGAGGGCAACTTTTGCACATCTCAATGGATAGGCACAAATCAATAAAATCAGACTCTCAAAAGATGAGTCCTACATCTTAGTTTGCTCTAAGATTTTTCAAATATTTTTTGAAAATTTATTTTTCAAATTCAGATAATTCCAAAAAGAAGCCAAACTGGTGACCTAACATGCAAATTTAAAATTTTATAAAGCAAGAGTTTAATTTCTCTATCAGAAAGGAAAGGTTTCCCAGCAAGGGAGTGGTAGCTCCACAGTCAAGTTTTCGGGTTCTTTCCATTGTTTAGTTCCATCATCTATACTATCCTGGTGCCTTTACCAATCGCTGTTTGTGTTTGCAGTCCACAGTGTTTACATTCCTTGTGTGGAACTGGTACATGTACTAACACATCTTTTCTTTTTTTATCCCTTGGACTTCCCTTCCTTTGTCTCCTGATGTCCTTCCCGTTTGAGAAAGAGCTATCTCCCTACTATTATTGTGATGGCCTAAACCCAGACTTTTTACATAGGTATTGCCATGGTAAACTTTAGCTGACCCCAGGGTAGTAACAACAGGCCTATGTGTAAAAGAAGTAACCATAGGGAGGAAATATACCCTGAGAAAGCGCTGACCCTAAACAAGCAATATATATACACATATATACATATATAAGTATATATATGCAATATATATACAATATATAGACATATATATGTATGAATATACGTATATACTTTATTCTAACTGACAAGCAGGATATCTGCTGATCTAGCTGTTTGACTAACAGTATTTTCATTATACTTTCTTTGTGTTTTATTTTTGTTTTTCTCTCCCCTCTATATAAACACTTCATGACTTCTGGTCAGGACTTAGACTCTGAAACAGGGGTCCATGCTGACAGTCTCTGAGCTCAGCTAATAAAAATCTTCAAGTTTTAATTGGCTACTTTGATTCCTATTTTGATTATCAACCCACAACATTATCTATGAATATTTTTTTTTTTGCTCTTTGTATTTTGGGTTTCTCCAATAAGAGAAAACTTAATCTTGTGCACCTGATTTATTTTATTTAATATTATCATATCAAGGTACATTGATTTCCCTACAAATAATGCAAGTTTATCTTTCTTTGTGGCAGAGTACTACTCTGTCCTGTGTAAATACCACGTTTGTCCCAGGCAATGGAAAAGAGGAAGACAAAACATGGTTTTTTTAGACCTGGAACCTGCCTGTATCCACTTTTCCTTAGTCATTCATATCTGTTAAGGAAACAAAAAAAAATCTTCAAAAACAATTAATCCTGACAGTTAAATCATCTTCTCAAGAGTACAGAAGGTCAATTTGTTAAAAAGAAATTAAAACAAGAACAATAAGTAGGTGAAGGATTTTAAATATGACCTTGAGAGTGGCATAAGATGGCAAAGTGGTAAGCAACAGATAAAGAGCCCGAGTGTTGCTATCCAGACACTCACTATAGCAATGTGATGAAGACAGGAAGGACAGAAGTGGGTCCGCTGGACCAGGGAAGGATCTGAAGCATGAATTGAAGCCTACAGAGAGAATGAAGAGAGAAGTTTCAAACCATTGCCCACAGGCCAAATCTACCACCATCATCTGTTTCTACCAATAAAGTGCTTTTTTTATTTTATGGAAAAAGGCAAAATGAAATTTCATAACAAAATAATAGGAAAATAATAATATATTGCTTGTTTTTATTCATTCATGAAGAAAGGAATGGCTTGAGGATGAGTGACTAAGAATCTCAGGAAGTAGGTGAGTTTTGTGAGCTGGGCTAGGTAGGAGGCCTGAAATCACGTCTGCAATATGCACAGAGAAGGATATGCAGAAAGAATAATCTGCACAATACAATTGATATAGTATCTAACATTTTGAGGTCAGTGCTTTTGCTCTGATATGTAACCTTTCAAGCCCCAGGAAGTCATAACCTCTAACTCCTGGCTCATTCCCAGCCAACAGTGTGGAGCATTGGTTCTTCATCCCATCTCAACCAAGCTTACACTAAGGAGCAGCAGATAGTAGTTGGGTAGGTGGGGGTTGGGGGGAGGGTCCAGGGAAACACACTTGCCATCTTCAAACACTACCATCAGCAGCTCAGCTGGACTGATATGATTGCTTAAGGCCAACTGGAGTGATAAGGAAAAGTCCTAGCCAACTCTGTACATGTCAATACATGGAAATAAGGTTAGGCTCAGCCAAAATGGACACAACTGCTCCTCTTTCAAGGAGAGTTGCCCAGGAGGTCCTCCACAGTGAAGGACTACAGTAGCTGGCTGCCACGTTCAGTGCAGCTCTCGAAGTTCTGGAGGGTGAGGGCAGGATGGCAAAAGGATGGAGAAATAAAGACAGAAACAATATATAGAAAGCTAAAGGGCCAGCCAAATAGCTCAGCAGATTAATGCACCTGCAAGCAGGCTCAGGGGGCAGGGGTTCAATCCCCAGGCCTGCTGTGCTGGCCCCGCCCCCGGGGCATGCTGAGAAGACAATTGAAACTGGGCATGGTTGTGCACACCTGTAATCTCAGCTCTTGGGAGGCTGAAAACAGACGGATCACTGTGAGTCTGATCTAGCAGTGAGACCCTGAACACCCTGTAGACCCTTCCCTAAAAAAAAAAAATAAGAAAAGAAAGCTGAGGTCAGGTGGAACCCTCTCTCCAAATAGTAGAAAAGGGACTGCTCAATCACCATAGTGCATTTATTAATACAGTTAGTAAGCTGATGTCAGGTGAAAACCCTTTGCCTAATAACTAGTTCAACTCTCACACTCAGGTTCTCAGGTCTGGAACACCTGTTTGCCTTAGGTGCTCTGTGCCCCCAGGGCCTTTCTTGAGGGCTTTGTGCTTTCAGCTCTGTACAAGTGAATCAGATCAGCCTCTCCCAACAGCTGGCAGTGACTGCTGAGGGCTCAGTCATACTCAAGGCAGCCATTGGCCAGGAACCATCTTGAGAGGGGCTGGCTGAGGTCAAATCAGAGTGGCTGCTGCTCTATCTAGCTGCTCCCCACTGGGCTCAGGCCCTGAGCAGGTGCACTGATGCCCACAGGCCAAATGAGTCAGTCTCAGCCAGAAAAAGGAGCAGTCTCACTGAGATTATCCACTGCCCCACTAAAAAGCTACTGCTGGCTTGCTGGAATAAATCAACATGGATCAGGACTTTGCTCCACATGTTGTCTACTTGTGACAGTAGAAACAAGCCTAAAAGAGGACTCTCTCTCTTTCTCTCTCTCTCTCCCTCCTCTCTCTCCTCTCTCTCTCTCTCTCTCTCTCTCTCTCTCTCTCTCTCTCTCTCTCTCTTGTTTTTTGTTGTTGTTGTCATTGTATTTTTGGTTTTTTACTCCTTCATTGTTTGATCTTGTTTCTGTTTGAGTGTGAAAGTGGTTTCTAGCCTCTTTGTGTTTATTGTTTTGTTGGTTTTTTTATCTCTTCCTTCTCTCGTTCCCTCTAGTCTTATGCACCAGTTTCCCAAAGTTAATGTAATCTCCTTTGTCCTCCAGCCTCACTTATAATGTCTTCCTCTTCTTCTATTTTTTCCCCCAATCCCTTCTAAATTTTAACCCCTGAGGGTAAAATTGACATATTAAGGACTTATGTACTGTATATAATTTTATTATCTGTTTTAGATTTTTTATATAACCACAGATCTGGTTCATATGATCAAAGGTTGCAAAGTAATGGTTACCTCAGTTTGTCATTTTCTTTTTTATTATTATTACTTTTTTATGTGTTTTAGTACAGTCTACAGGGTCTCACTACAGATTGGACTCTTAGTGATCCTCCTGTTTTCAGCCTCCCAAGCACTGGGATTACAGGTGCGCACCACCACACCCAGTCTCAGTTGCTGGCTCAACATGCTCTGGGGTCGGGGCTGGAACACAAGCCAGGGATCAAATCCCAGGCCCTGTGCCTGCCTAAGCAGGCACTTTAATCTGCTGAGCTATCTGGCTGGCCAAGTTTGCCATTTTCTAGGCTGTGATTTATGCTACTGTTACTGTTAATGGTACCACTTTAGCCAAAAGTGACATTATTGTTCTAAACAGCTATTATTCCTGGCATTCCAAGACTAAGATTGACTAAGGATCATAGACAATATAGTGGCACAGTGCCAAAGAACCAGGGGCTAGGCCAGACAGGTAGCGACTTCTCATCCCTAGCATATTGAAAAGGTAGGAATTTGCAACAGACTCAAAACCAAAAATATCAGTTACACCTGGACAATACCTCAAAGAGGTAGTCATTTCCAAAGAATTCTAAGAAATATCCATAAAGCAACCCATAATGGGCAATGACAATCATCACCCCAGGAATTAAACTTAAAAAAGGAAGGAAAAATGAAAAAAACACTCACACAAGAAGCAACACTAAGCAGTTCACCAATGGCAAATGCAGGGGAGCAGTGAGGTGGGATAATCCAAAGACACCCATGTGGTCTCTCCAAAGTGGTAATAAAAAAAGCAATTGAATAAGGCTCCAGAAAAATTCAAGTCAAAAATAATTTCTGAGATAACTGCCGAGATGGTCTCCACAGTGAAAACCAGTCTTAGTGACTCTAGAATAGATACAGACAAAAATAATAGAGGAGCATAACAAAATGAATGAATGCTCAACATAGGAAAGAAATGGAATCCAGAAGACAGAGTCAAACAGATATCCAAGAGAATAAAAATTTCATTGAAAATATCCGTAGCAGATTAAGCCGGTGTGAGGACAGGATCTCAGATATAGAAGACAGGCCTGCTGTAAACAATCATGAAAAGAGAGATTTCTTAAAATTAATG